ACATATTTACATTGACAAAGTTACTTCTTTCAATTATTATTTTTTTATGTAAGGTCTTGGCTGAGATAAAATAGTCAGTGTCACGAGCGAGATTCGAACCCACGACCTTCGGCTTGATACGCCGCTACTCTACCACTTGAGCTATCGTGACGTCGATCCTCTCGGTCACCAAGGTCCATCTCAACCAATCCTGATTCCATATTTGAAAATGGCAAAAAGAGGGAAAATTCGAACGGTTGTAGGTTGAGATGGAGAGTTGGTGTCCGACAGGATCGAAGTCACGATAAATCATGTGGTAGAGTAGCGGCGTATTTAGCCGAAAAGGTCGTGGGTTCGAATCCCGCTCGTGACACTGACCTTTTTATCTCAACAAAAACCTAACACAAAAAGAAAAATTAATTGAAAGATGTAATTTGGTCAATTGACCAATAAAACGTAAAATAACAATACGGATCAAACGAAATGGTTATTTCCCGATTTTTTATACAATGCATTTGCTATCAGGTCACGGGACTTTCACTCAATCCGGGCTAGTGACCTCAGCATTATTTGTAAAGGGGATTCTAGGTACTGGAGGACTATTTAGGACTCCATTCTGTCAAAAACAAATATTACAAAGAAACAGCCCCTTACCTCCCTCAAGCCGCACATTTAGACAGGTAGGGACTGGCAGTTTAAAAGCCCCTTTTCAACAACCAAAGGGTCTTCCTAAGTACGACTGGATGGGTTCAAAATATGGTTCTCAAACCGTATCAGCTCCGGTAAAATCTCTCTAATTGGCACATTAACGGAAAAGTAATTTGAAATATGAAAAGCCGCTTTTTCAGCTTTTTCACTGCTTATTGCAGAAAGAGTAAAAAAAAAATATCGTATGTCATCCTGTGCATTTTAAACAGCTTTTCCGGCTGGTTTACCGAGATAAAGCCCATTGAGATTCCTTCCTATCCGTATCGGAGCTTCCTAATGGCCCGCCGGCGGTGTAATCACCAGGGGGTTAGCATTCCCTCCGAAACGAAATCTTTTGACAAGCCTTAAACAACCAGCAATGAACTAGGCATAAATAACAATCAAGAGGAATCGCTAGTTGATTTTTTTTATTGGGCCTATTGAATAAGAACGCCCATCGTTTCGTCGAGTCGGATTACGAGTACTCAAATAAAACAACGGTTCAAATAGTTTCGCCATTTCGTAAGCCTACAATTAAAAAATTACCTCGACTTTTATCTTTAAACTTTATTACGTCGAGTTAAACCTAGAAATTTGATCTTGATGCGTTTCCATTGGACAGGAACAAATTCCTACATGTTTTGGGGTGAATTTTAATATATCGAGATGAAAATGTTTTAACTACTTTGATGTCCCTCCCTCCAAAAGACGCCTGCTGAGGCCGAATATATCCTGTTACGCCTACCAAACCGGAAAGCTTCTTTTTGATCTAATTACAGTGGACGCCGCTTATAAGACTCACGGATATAAGGTTGTCGCCTATAAGACTCAGAATCGCCAGAAACAGTCCGGACTTATCCCAATACATTGAAAACAAAATCGCTTATAAGACTCACCACTTCGGATATGAGACTCAGTTTTTTCCACTGTCTTGCATGCTCCCAACCTGGTCAAGAATATTACAGGTCAAAAATGAGAAAAAAACCGTATCGCTCATATTGACGAAACCTTGGAATCTCAATCAACTTCATCTTCAAATTCGACTTTCAAGGCTAACGACCTCGCCAAGAAAATCAACATTCTCGATGCTCTACATCTGGCCAAGAAGCGTGGAATAACTTTAGTGATGTGACCGAAAACTGCATTCGGCACGGAGGTTTTGTCAAAGCTGATGAAGAGCTGGAGAAGGAGGAAGATAATGATAGCTGCCCTATTGAGACGTCAGAAGACCGGGACTACGAGGATTGGGTGGATATCGACCACAATCTTCAAACCTCTGAAGCGTATTCTGAGGAACAAATCTGCCAATCCGTCATGAACGAAGCCAGAAGAAGCAGCACATCGGATGTACGAAGACGTTGTCGAGGAGGAGACCGATGGTCCAAGTTCCACCTTCAAACTCATAGGTTCTAAGGGCTCTAGGGGTGTTGAAGAGAGCTGTCCAGCACCACGGGACCAATATTCAAAAGCACTACGATTATAAGAAGTATTGAAATGATGGAAAATAACAAAAAACAAACAAAAGTAACAAATTTCTTTAAACCATCTTAAATTATGAATTGATTATGTATGTATTTCTTTTATTTTATAGGTGAATGACACGCTATGTCTATATGTATTGACAGGAAAAATAAAGTTTGTGTATTATATACCTTCTAAAATATTGTTTGTTTCGCTTATAACGTTCATCCGCTTGTAAGACACACTTTTTGCTGGTCCCAAAACGAATCTTATAAGCGGCGTCCACTGTATATCCCAAATTCTCCAACTCCCACAAACAGCTACTATAGTATTTTCCACACTTCCCATTTTCCTTTACTCTCGACATATTCGAACAATAATTTCCTGAAGCCATTCAACAGTCCAGCAAGGTTTCGCGTTCCGTTTTCCTTTAGAACATGAATATTATAAAACAATACTTGAAATAAACTTGAACAAGTGCTGAGGCTTTTTTGACTTTGTGTATGACTAATATAGAATCTAGCTGTCCACTTATACATGCAAATCTGATCAAATTTTATCCACAATAAACTTCTACCATGGTGGAAAACAATTAACACTTTGGGTAACACTGTGGGCAACACTGATTCCAGGATGTGGGGTCATTTACTTTAGTACATGCTTAATTGAGAGTGTCTAAATTTTCTCCAGTGAGTTAAATAGTTTATGGAATGAATTAAAAATAATTATTTTATATCGTGTTAATTTATAAATAATTCTTGTTAAGGCAAAAGTTTTTCTAAAAAGTATAAATTTTAACTTTTACCTTTTTCCAGGGGAAGGGGTGTAAAACAATTGTCACTGTTTTTCCCTCCATCCCACATTTAGGTAACACTGAGGGCAACACTGATTCCAAGAAGTGGGGTTATTTACTTTCGTACTTGCTTAATTGAGAGCGTCAAATTTTTCCGTAGTATGTTAAATTGTAAATAACTATTGTATAATTTATAAATTATAAATAATTCTTGTATGGAAGGATTTTTTGATGGGGCAAAAGCGTGTTGTACAAAGGTCTTCTGTACATTAAAGCAATTTTTTCCAAACACGCTCTACTTCTTTTCTACCTTTTCTAACCAAACGGTTTTTTCGGGTCCGACAGTGTGCTGCGACCAATAATACCGCAGATGTTCCCACTACACCTATCACCCTCCTTACACCTTTTGCCAATGACGTAGCTATACTATCCTCTAACCCGGATCCTGCGGTTGCTTCGGAGGATCTGCAGAGACATATCACATATAGAGCAAATTGGTGTAGACAACGGAAAATAAAGATAAATGAAAGTAAGCCCATGTAACACTTACATTCCGAAGCAAACCTCATCTCATTCTACCACAGCTATGTCACAATTCCCCAAATCCCCTTGGTTCCATCTAGAGTCAAGGTTAATAAGAAATCATCGTACTCGACTGAAACAGCCTAAACAAACTGAAACAGCTACCTCTCCTGTAAAAATTTATAGGACGACCCCAAGCACGAAAAACAAACAATTTACAAAACACTACTAACTCTAAACTTCACAATATGCAATGCCTTCCTCCACAACGACCTTAAAACCCCCTTTATCGAAAAATCAATTGTCCAAAACTTTACCAAGTTCCGCAATAATCTATCATTAGTATCGCCCAAGACTTGTCCAACAGAAGATATCCACAATCCATTAAGCGTCTAAAGACGAAATGGCTCTGCGACCTCCTTTCTGAGGAGTGGGTAGTCAGGTTTATTTAGTGAAGTGAAGTGAGAAAATAAACACGACTCGCAAGAATGGCACAATTTCACAGAAAACAAACACTTTGAGCCCTGAAGATGATCTCAATAAAGATCGACACGTTGGCACGATAAAGAAAATGTTTTACTGAAACCTACATCACACCAGAACGCATCTCACGATTTCTGAATAATCTGAGAAAATAAAATTGATTATTTGCTCCCCTCAATGTAAATATGTATCCATTTACGTTTTAGTGGTCAATTGACCAAATTACTTCTTTCAATTAATTATTCTTTTTATGTAAGGTCTTGGTTGAGATAAAAAAGTCAGTGTCACGAGCGGGATTCGAACCCACGACCTTCGGCTAAATACGCCCCTGCTCGACCACTTGAGCTAACCTGACTTCCATCCTCTCGGACAACAACTCTCCATCTCAACCTACATTTGAAAATGGCAAAGAGAGGGAAAATTCGAAAGGTTGTAGGTTGAGATGAAGTGTTGGTGTCCGAGAGGATCGAATTCACGATAGCTCAAGTGGTAGAGCAGCAGTGTATTTAGCCGAAGGTCGTGGGTTGAATCCCGCTCGTGACACTGACTTTTTTATCTCAACCAAGACCTTACATAAAAATAATAATTAATTGAAAGCAAATATGTATGTAAATATATATCGTCAGATTACATGTTGTCTCAGAAATTGAAGTCGTAATATTTTTTTCTGTGGTACTATAACATTTACTAAGCATTCAATTAAACGTATTCTATTCGTACTTAGAAAAATAATGTGGAGGATATTTTGATTTTGTGAACTGTCATGAACTTGAAAAACATCGACGACGGTTAGTTGTTGCTTGTTTTATGATTTTTCTAAAATAAATCTTTCAAAAGCAAAACGAATTGATTTCTTTGATTAGACCGTAGCAAAATTGGAACAGCTTGGATCTGTTTTTACTTTTTTTTTTAAATTAACCATTTTTGATATGCAAGTGTAATTGATTTGAAAATGTGGCAACGTATATCAGTTAAATGTCCTCATTCTGAATTTAAAATACAGCTCTGTCTAATATTTTTTATTTTTCTTTGCCATGCGGTCAGTGAAGGTGATCGATGTTCAAAAATAAAATTACCAAAAAAATGCTATTCAGTCGTTGACAAAAAGGAAGGCAGGTATAAAATACTGGGATATTTCTGTGTGATTTATGATGTTTTATAGTCGCTCCCAAAGGGACGTGCACGATGAGGGCCGACAAGGTGCCCCACGAACTGTACTTGGACGAGGCGACCGGAAAGAAGTTTTATTTAGGTTTTTTTGGACAAGTAAGTTTATTGGTTCACTTTTTGGGAAACAGTTTATTATAAACGATTTCCAGTTGAACTGGTGCGAGGCGCACCGCTTTTGCGCGAGCCATGGCATGCAGCTGATGCCTATAAAAGATCCGAGGATTTCCAACGCCGTTGTCAAAATACTTTCCGGCTACGGTATGTGTAATAACTATCATGTTTTATGTTATTTCAGAAAGAATTTTATGAATTATTTTGAATTATGTGAATGAATTATTTTACTTCAGTGTGAAAAGTGTGAGACATTACCGGAGAATTTATGATCTGATTTTTGTTGATCGACCTGCAGATAATCTATGAAGGGTTCCAATCTTCGTAGAGGTCATTAGACAGGGGGAAAAAGTAGACTAAATGCGAAGTACACCAAGCTTTCGTCACCTGGCTATCATCAGGGTCTATTTTATTACAAGTTAAAAAAAATACACAGTAACTACAAGTAAAAATTAATGTAATCAAATGTTATGCTTACTTTCCCAAGAAGGAAAAAAAACAACGATTAACATAGAAAACTTTTGTATAAGCGTTTTGGGTTTAAGGTTATGAAGCACATAGCCAGCCATACTGCATTTTTGATGGTGAAAATAGACATCTATATAAAATTATAAGTAATTATTAGCATACAATATTTATATTTGACAATTAAAACAATAATTTATAATAAAGTTAAACAATACCTCGCTAACAATCCATTAAAAAATTGTTGGATCTCTAGTCATATGGATTTTTAGCGAGGTTATGGTTAACTCTATTATAAATTATTGTTTTCATTGTCAAATATAAATACTGTCTGCTAATAATTACTTATCATTTTATATAGATGTCTATTTTCACAAATTCTACTACTATTTTCAAAAATTAGTATGTTGGCCATGTGCTTCATAACCTTAATTCCAAAACGCTTACAATAGTTATTTGGAAATCGTGAGATGCGGTCTGGTGTGACGTAGGTTTCAAAGAAACATTTTCTTCATCGTGCCAACGTTCCGACCTTTATTGAGATCATCTTCTTTTCTTCAGCAACATAGTTTTGCCATGTTAATCGTTTTTCTTCATTCTTGGTAAAGTATGTATAGCATTTTATTACATTAATTTTTAATTGTGTGTTACTGTGTATAAGGTGCTGAAAGCTTGGTGAACCCAGTAAGTAGTCTTCTTTTTTTCACCTGTCAAATGACCTCTACGAAGATTGGAACCTTACATAATTTATGATCTATTCAGGTGGTCACGACTTTAAAATTTGGGTGGACGTATATAAAACTCCAAATTCGAATGCGTGGGTTGTGAGCGAGGGTAATAATCATAGAGCACTTTCAAAGCCGCAAATTCAAGACGATACTGGTTGGCTCACCTGGGCCGTGGTCGACCGATGGCATATAACTGTGGATAAAGACAGCTTTCCGAAACAGTTCTTCGATTCTTCTCCGTTCTACAACGAAATGTACCAAAGCAATTGGACCGACAGCGGACCGGAAGCCGAGCGATGGCCGATCTCCAAGGTGAAGAGACCGAACGCCGAAGACTTCAGGCGCAAGAGCTTTTCGAGGATTATCTCGCAAATCGCAACCGACGAGGAACCCTTTAAAGAAATATGGGACAATTTCAACTGTAAGACACTTTTCAATATTGCTTTTCAATCCGTTTCGCATCATAATAAAATCGTGTTAATTACATACGCCAGAATCGATGCGAAACGGAAAATTGCCCCCGTGAATTGGTCCTTATCAAACGACAGTCACTAATACGTTTTTAATTTCAAAAATGTTCAGTCTCATCAGTAATTGATGACCCAATTGTCTTACTGGACGAGCCAATAGATCGAAGGATTGAATCTGCAGACAGTGTTCGTGACGACATCGTCTTCGAAAATCTTGAAGGTGTAATGTGAAAAACTGTACGATTTAATTAAATTTTATTAACATTAAATGATATTCTTTAGGAGACGGTACGTCGATTAGTAACGCGTACAACGATAAAGAAGCGGTCCTGTCTCCTCCGAAGATAGTCATAAACAACGACGACGGTTTGAACTGCGCCTCTGTCGGACTCGTAAACCAAACAATAAACGTGCTGGCAGAAAGCTGCAATAGTCATAATTATTTTATCTGTGAAGTGCTTTAAAACCTTAGAAATAGTTCATAAATGAAAACATATTGGAAATCACCGAACATTGTAACTTTAATCAATCATTAAATGGTTTCTTTTATCAACCATCTGATTATTTATTTACAGTATTTAGTGCTTTAACTCCCGATTTGGGCAATTTCTTCAAACCTTCAACCAGCAATTCGATGAGGTTTAATTTCAGAAAGCGTATGCACGGACGTACATTTTACGTTCAACGACTTTTTTAGGTTAGTTTTCCTACAAGCCTAAGCGCTTTCCTCGTTGCTTCTTCGCGCAACTCTTTTGATGAGAATTGCCTTACCGAAGAGGCTGTACTGCGACTGGGCAAATGCTTCATATTCACAAAAGATAGTGTTCCGATGCCTCAGTTCCTCCTGTGAGAATCAGCATGTTTCTGACTCTGTTTTGCCTATATTCCTTAGGTGGTAGTTAAGAAGGCAGTGGACGGTATAGAAGCCTCTAATTTATACATATCCTGACTGCTCGGACAGAGAAGTTCCTCCGCCTTCCTTTTTGAAAGATGTATAAATCGTTTCTAATACCTAGTGTCCTGTGCTTGGGGTTTTATTTTTCAAGCCGTTTTTCCAGTTCCAACTTATGAACACACTCCGGTGCACCTAGTTGTGGTTATAGTCCCATGGTGAGTGGTCATCCCTTTTTTTTGGCTAGGTGGTCAACCGTTCCTTCTATATCTTAATATTCTGTCATATTCTGTTACCCACTTTAAGGTAATCTTGTTGTAATTTCCTAGTGTACTTTCCATTAACCAATTAATGCACTACTGGGCTTGTTTGAAATTAAAAACATGCGTTTAGTGCCTTTATGGCTGCTTCGTTCGAGAATGTGCACCTCTGCACCTTTCATATTATTTTATTAACTCCTGTGCACAGATTTGTATTGCTTGGACATCATCTTTGAAAATTGTTGAAATTAGTCCAAGGGGTTATTGTTATGCTAAGTTAAGTTCGGCCCTTTTACACCAAGGTAGTTCCATCTTTGTTCTATCTGTCTAATGTACCATATTAAGCCCTTTCCTGAAACTTGGGATGTTATTTCTCGGACGCAATATCATCAAAATGACGAGGTTCTTTAGCGTGCGCACTTGGTACATGGCTTTATCACACGTTTGGATTCTCAAGATAAGATCAACACACCTCTGCTCACAAGTGACTCGTGTTAATCCTATGAGGTTTGGTGTAGAAGCCACTTATCCACACACTAAGGTGACTCTCTGTTGCCTCTTTCGACGGGGTGGACCGACATCTATGCACTCGACCGTGTGCCGCGTATCTATTGGAAAGCCGCTCTCGGTACTGAAATGTATATAATTGATTGACCTGCTAACTATCTGGATAGAGAAGGTATTCTGTCTCTCAGAGTGTTGGGGTCCCTCTAGCGTCGGAACTTCCGCTCCAGCCGCGGTTATTGTTTTTAGTTGAATTTCTACCCCCCCCCCAGAGCTGTCTTCGGTAAAGGAAGGCGTTGAAGGCACCACCGGACAGCAGGCTCTACTCTAACTACCCGCCAGTGGTTTCGCTATTAAACCACTAGGATTCCAGTATCATGTAGCGATCTACCAGGCTTGGAACATGGAACTTTGCGCTATCCCGTAGTTCAGTTGGTGAAGCACAACTAAGTGGACAGGATCTGGTACATGCTTTAAAGAGTTCCCCATGCTCGCTAGGATACACCATTATGCTTTGCTCGGAAACTTCCCTTACATTCAAGGGTTAGGAAAGATCTTAAGGAAATATGCTGTGGGACATGGAATGAGAAAAGGCATAATGTACCACCTTTTGGCACCGTGATCAGCAAAGTATTAAGGTATGTACCCTCTGGATGGATAAAAGAGGAGAGAATGATGGTTCAAGCGCTAATAAGTTCACAACAAGATCACCCCAGCTCGAAGGAATATTCCGAGAGGTGTGTCCGCCCCACACACATCCCGGTTTAAAAACTGTCCAATCTCAGATACCCTTCTCCACATGGTTGTATTCAGAGGGTTGGTGGTAGTCTCTCCACTTATCTTCGGGCAACGGGTGCCCCCAGGGCTTCGCAAGCACAACCTTTCGGATTGCGCCCACTCCATTCCAAAAATCCACCCGGCCAGTGTATTTCCTACAACTTCACTCAATGAACATGATGCGATCCTCTCTTATTCCGGTCTCGGAGAGGCCTTAACGGTGGCTGCCTCGAGAAGGCAAGAGGTCGCGGGAACGGGAGAGGTTATATATGACACATCGCAGTTCCCCATTTCGCACTCTTACTCTTCCTTCGTCCGATCTTCCATATGCACGCGGAGATCTTTTGTACATAAATAAGTATTGGTGGAAGTCGAGCGGTTTCGATTGCTATAATGTGGCAAATATGCATTTCCCCCGTTATATTAAGTCACGCTAGCCTTTGTAGAATTGGTCAGTGTGTTTAGCAACCTCGGGGTCTGGCTGTTGTGGTGTATAACTAATCCTGATGTTTATTCCCCAGTTTTTGCTGCATAATCTATCAAGTCTTGTTGCCCCTGTGTTTTCTCCATTTGAGCCTTGGTCAAGGGTTGTACATCGGTCTTTGTTTCTTTGGAGAGAGTTAAGGCTTCATCTTTTATAGTGGCTGCTTTTAGATTTAGCTGCATTCTTCTTGTAAAAGGCATGAGATTTGTTTTCTTAGGGTTTATGTTTAAACCCATTTTCTCACACCATCTTCCTAAAATATTTAAGGCATTTTAAATCTGATTTGACAATGTTAACGAAGTTACATTTTATGTTTGTTACCAGGTCGTCTGTGTAACCTAAGGTATGGTATCCTATTCAATGAATTAAGGATTTATCTAAATATTTCTACGTTGGTTTTTACAACATTTTATGTATGCGAGCAGTTTATCGGGAGAGATAATTGTCTCGGGCAATAGCTCGGGCTCTAAAATCACTGATGAATAGGCCCATGTCCTCAATTTCTTATTCGAACGATTATTTTATTTGTGAACAAAACAAGGTCGGCAATGAACAAATCTAAATAAATAGTTTCATCAGTTCATGCAGACATGCAAATGCGTCTACATGTAATTAAAAAAATAACGTCAAACGTTTAGTAAAATTGTTGTACAATTTAATTTTTCAGGCAATATAAAATTATACCGTTAATCGATATTTATTTAGAAATCGTGAGATGCCGTCTGGTGTGATGTAGGTTTCAGAAAAGGCACTCTCGACACGACACGCAAGAATGGCACAATTACACAGAAGACAAACGCTTTGAGCCCTGAAGATGATCTCAATAAAGATCGAAACGTTGGCACGACAAAGAAAATGTTTTTCTGAAACCTACACCACTCCAGACCGCATCTCACGATTTCTAAATAAATAAAATTATACGTTTAAACCAATATATTGATTAATATATTATAATTTCATAAGTAGTCTTTAATTGAATTGTTAATGAGCTCTTTTAAGTGAAGATTTATAAATTATGTATTTTATATTAAATCTAAGCTTATAAATAACTGTAACTATCTGTGCTTCTTTATCTTCCGCTAACAGAATTGATATATTCACACATTTAACATACAATTATAACACTTTAAAAATTAGTATGTCATCATTCAGACACACAAGAATGACACATCTACATGGAAAATATAGATGACACTTTGAGCCCTGAAGATGATAGCAATAAAGATCGAAACGTTGACGTGTAAAGAAAATGTTTTTCTAAAACTACGTCACACCAGACTGCACCTCACGATCTCCAATAATCATTGGCTAACGGTCACTAAACACCACACATTGTAATAAATGATCAATTTAATTATTTTCTCAATTATTTTTTATTAAATATTAATCCATTTACGTTTAGTGGTCAATTGACCAAGTTATTTCTTTCAATTAATTACACTTTCTATGTAAGGTCTTAGTTGAAATAAAAAGTCAGTGTCACGAGCGGGATTCGAAAATGGCAAAAGGAGGAAAAATTCTAACGGTTGTAGGTTGAGATCGAGAGTAGTCCGAGAGGATCTAAGACACGATGGCTCAAGTGGTAGAGCAGCGGCGTATTTAGCCGAAGGTCGTGGGTTCGAATCCAACTCATGACACTGACTTTTTTAATCTCAACTAAGACCTTACATAGAAAGAATAATTATTTTTATTATTCATATCTTGCAGGTTCTATTTCACGATTAGAAATTTATTGTTGTTTGTGAAAAACTTCCTTCCCAGCCTTTCTTTCAGAATTTTAACGATAATTTAATTTATTTGTTGATATTACTTCTGGGTTGATGTAAGACAAGCAAGCGGCAAAATTCTAGCTGTGGGGAATTTACTTTAGCGCAGGGGCCTTACTAGGCAATAATATTTTAGAAAGGTAAGGCACGGATCTGTAAGGATTTATCCACATTTTGATTGGATTAAGGACCTTTTTAAATATTTTTAACTAAATATTCCGGATGAAGACACGTACAGAACTGAATTCTTTATCTTGATCCATCTCACTCAAAATCTCTCTCAGTCTTAGTCCGATTTTTTTAAGCGAACGAGCTGGAGCTCATCGATAAACCGGAATTTATTCCTTTTTTCCGCCTGCGCTAAAAATATTTTTCTTCCATCATATCTCGATCCCCTCCGTTAATTTGTAATTCAGAACTCGCACTTGACAATTTCGTTTCCATAAAGGAAACGCATCCATTAGCGAAGTATTTTGTCACCAAGTGGAGTTTAGAAATGTCATTGGTCTTGATCTAAACGATTCGAGAAAAAATCTGATATTTCCTTCATATTAAACAATTACTCGAATTCAATCTTTCTCAAGTCACTTCTGTTTTTGTCGATTGTTCCTTTCACATTGTTCTACTTGAAATCCACATGCAGGTGACGAAAAGATATGCCATACACTATATATTTTGTAAATTAATTACTACAAATTTAAAGTTAATCAAAATATCATCAAATTTAACAATGATTGTTTGGAGATCGTTAGATGCGGTCTGGTGTGACGGGCTCAAAGTGTTTGTTTTCCGTGTAGATGTGTCATTCTTGTGTGTCGTTTGAGAGT